AACATTAGTGGCATTGTGTTCAAACATGTCTGCATTTTTTACTCTTACGTGCTGAAATGGCACTGCCTACCATGCTGCAGTTCTGTAATGTAGGGTACATTCACTTAAAGCTTTTGAAAGCTCTAAAAGACATTTCTTAGCATTCAGACTGGAATACTGCTATTTTGATGTAGGAATGCTGCTCTCACCAGCTTGTATTTATTTTCGATGACAACTAATACAAACTATTGTGTATCTGCTTTCATAATTCTAGTACAAGTGTGCCACCTAGTGGTGACATCTAAAGCAAATACATGAATTTGCGTACATCTGTAACAAAAGCCTTGTTGACATTTTTAGAACTTAAATATATGCTGTTGTGACTCCTATAAAGTTCAGCATTTCCCTTTTATTATTATTTAAGACTTTGTTTTGCAATTTTGTTTGATGTATGAATCTGGCAACCAGTTTCGAATGTTGTGATCAGGGAAAAGGGAAATTCCCATTCCTCTAAGCAAGCTGCAGTTAAGTTAGTTACATTACTGAAAAACTGAGGCTCACTTGAACTTTATACTAAACTCTGCATGTAAATAATCACATTTATCTGTATGTGTTTATAAAGTGAAATATATTGGATATAAAATGAAATCTGATTTCGAATTAAAACATATGCATTACAGTTTTTAGATTTTTATTATATAGTTATAATCAAACTACCACTGCCTAAAAATGAAAAAAAAAAAAAAAAAATCAGTGTAACATTCAGTCTCGTCCTATGTTAATAATATTCAACATGATCATATGTATATAGTTTTTAAAACCAGTGTCATAGCTAGGGTGTCATCTGTGTCCAGGCATACCATCCAGAGAGTGCCAAACTGATGTTCCCCATTGCATTTTGGCCAACAGGAGGCAGCACAAAATCATCATTTATCCCCGGGATGCTGAAAATCCTAACTACATCTCTGTTTTAAACAAGTTAATAATCATTCAAAACTTTGTTATCAACCACTCAAGAAAAAGAAAACTATTTAAGGAATTATTTTTATTTACATATATGCAAGCAACTGTTGTTGTAACTCCTTCTAGTTTTAGTATTTTTAAGGAGCAAAGCATTCAGCAAAATTTCCAATCCTAATTATTACAGTGTATGCTAAGAAATCTGTAGGGAGTTAGGACATGTAGAATATGAGATGTGTCTTTCAATAATAATCCTTAGTCGGTTCTCCCATAATGAAATTTATAATTCTTGAAATGTTAAAGTTTTTTCTTATCTGGTTTTATCAAGCTATTAACCCTTTCCGGCCTGCTACCTTTTAAAGTTGGAGTTTTGATAAAAAAAAAGAAAAGGTAGGCAGTCTAATTAGGCCTAAAGGAGTACACAAGTAAAATTTTGTGAAGATAGCACTTATCTTTTAATTCTGCTGGGTGAGCCCAAAGTGGGCACACTGATTGAATAGAGCTTCAAAAAGAGTGCTGAAACGAGCATTGTTGTCAATGAACTGACCGATGAGATGCGGAGAAACAAAGAATACAGACTCTCAGTTGTCCTAAATTATCAGTGAGCCCGGTCTGGGCACACCTAGGGTTCACCGTTTGATTTTAGGCAAGATTTCAAGGTAAAAATTTAAAACTAATATAGAATAAGGAGATTAGCATACAGCCAAAAAAATTACATAGAAATTTCTTTTCAAACAATTCCTTTTATACCTTAAAAAAATCTGGAAGATTTCTTTGAAAAATAAAGTCATAAGAAAACTAAACATGGCTAAAATATATGGAAAATATATGGACTGGTTTGTGTTGAGCTGCCATCTACCATAAATAAAGAAGGTTCAGAGTAACCTAGAAATCCTTTTTGATTCAATTTTTCTGTGCGTACAGAAGGAAATTTTTAGGTGTGTCCAGACCGGACACACGACACACTGTGCTGCAAAGGGTTAACCCTTTCAGGAGGGGTGTATCATATATGCATCAGCAGTTAATCCTCCTACACAGATGGAAGGCCTGCTTAGCACAACTCATCTTGGAGGACAGTATGATGTTGTTGCACCAGTACTATCTCCCTAAGGACATGGGATATTTTGCATGTCACTAAGCCTAACTTTAAAAAAAAAAAAAAAAATTCATTAAAAATATTTTTTTTATCAATTGTTTTGATTTTGTCTTTAATGGTATCTAACAGTAATATAATCATAAATACAGAATATCAAGAGATTCTGAGAATATTTTAATTAAAATCTAAATGCAAAATGAAATATGTGACTCATCTTGGTGAAATGTTGTAAAAAACTTTGAAATCTCTTAGTACATAAAAAGTAATGAAATATGTGATCAAATATTTTAGGATAAATGATTCAGAAAGGGGACAGTGCGTGATAATCTAGTTCGTTACCATTTCATTAGTTATGAAACGCATTTTCAAGTCGAACTTTTTAATGATTCCATTCCAGCAGAATAATTAAGCCTAGGAATCCCCTCATTTTAGGCACATCTAGAGGAGTATATTTATTTTGGATGAAGATGGATTTTTCACTCATTTTTATTTCATAGAAATGATTAGTTTCTTCAACTGTTGTGTTCATTAGCATATAAAAAAGAATGGGGAAAAAATCATTTTCATAATTCTGAATTAAGTTTACTTCTACAATTCCATAAATTCATGAAGTAACGTAATAGATCAAAAACTTAACAGATCGAGTTCTTGACGGAGTAGCCACTGTTCTTCTGGATTGTAAGCTGAAAGAAAAACAAACTTCCAGTTCAGTCTCTGAGAAAATTTCGGTATTGAAATTGCTATTCTCACCTAAATCTAGAGTTTTCGGTTTTCGAACCAAAAAGGTCACTCATGTGCTTTACAATTTGAATACAGTGAAACCTCGGTACAACAATATTTTAGGGACCAAATAAATATATTGTTGTAGAGAGGCATATTGTTATATCGAGGGCCCACATATTTTGAGCATTTAATAAGAGTTTTTTTTATTTATTATTATTAGTTTAAGGTGCATAACATACTACTTTTAAGTCTATATTTAGAAGAAATTAATTTGAAAATACTAATAATAGTGTTTTTAAATACTAAAAAAAATAAATAAATAAGATAAATTCGGAAAATAAGCACAGAAATATTCACATACCTGAAAACACTTTATTGAAAATAATCCAATATTTTTGTCCCATCTCATTACACCTATTTCTTTAACTTCTTAATACCTCATCATTCCTTTGTAAATAAGACCCCTCCTTTTTTCCCCTTTCTTTTTTTTTAAGCTGCATTTCTGAACTAATAATGGGAAAAGTTTATTCCTATATGATTTATTTAATTCTATGGGGATGTCTTAGTGTCTCTGCCTTGCAGATGATTGGCATTGAGATGTGATGAGACATTGCCTAAGAACTGTTTTCCATTGCAAAGCTCTCGAGTTTATATTTTTTTGTCGGGGGGGGGGGAACAGTGTTAATAAAACCAGTCCTTAAGTGTTGCTCCATAGAAACATTTGACTGGCTTCTGTACCAAACAGGCAAGTGAGTGTAAATTCACATACTGTTTTATATCTTATAATATAGTAGGACTTTTCACTTTCCTTATAAGCATCAGTCTGATCGTCTGTTGCTTTGCTGTATCTAAGGATTAAAACTCATAATTTATTTTATAGGCAAGAGTAAATTTTTCAGTCATAAGCTGCAACTACTCTTGAAGGCAACATATGAAAATTGAGGCTAAATTCATCACAGTTTTCAATTTGGTGTATAGTTAAATTTATTTTTCTCTTAATTGTGAAATTCGTTTTAAATTAAATATTCAATTAATTTTGTGGAATTTTTTTTCTACAAATGCCGAATTGTCCGATTCCACACCAGTTTTCCATCTTTTTAGACAAACAGTGATTTCAACCAATCCTGTCTCGTGTTCAAGATTTATGCACTTTTTTAATTCACTTGCAAGCTGGTTTCATATGCCACCCCTCCATTTGTGATACCTTCTTTTCTCAAATTACATCTGTGATTCATCTATTGTAATTTTATTTACCACTTTGCCTTTATCCAATTTTTTTATGTTTATAGTTTGACATAATTTTCATGTCAAATTGTTAAGTGTCATGAGATGAACCAGCTGAATGCTGAATTATGATTGTGTGTAAAAGCATCATTGTAATGTTATCACATGTACAGCATTTAATATCATTGTATCACTGCACTTCTTTTAATACATTTATTTTAATATCCATCTCAATACTTCTTTGTTTTCATCTCTTCTCCTAAGATAGTTTTGCAACTCAGTGAAAATGAGGCATAATATATTACTTTCAGACTTTTAAAATGATTCTGTTAAAATTGACAGCTGAAATAGTATCTTCTCTAATTATAAAGGAATATGACAACTTATTTACATGAGCTACATTGCTTTTAAGAATGTGAGGTAATAGGTTCTCAACACTAAGCAAATGTGTTTTTGAGTTAAGCTCAAGAAATCAGTTCCTTAAGCCCAAAAAAGAAACCAATAACATTTTTTGCATGAATGAAGCCCACTAGCAACTAAGCAGTAGAACTGTTAAACACTGGTACTTCAACTCAGTTCAAAACTTAGCAAGCATACTGCCTGCATGGGACTTGTTTTCCACCACATGTAACTTCAGTTTCTCTTGAAAATTCCTCCACATAGGCATCCCTACCCTTAGGTTAATAAGTGTTGAATGTTTTGTAATCTAAGTAATCAAAGAATAGAAATACTGTCCAAAGAGCAGCTAAAACAGTGGAAATGAGATTTAAGAACTCTGTCCAGCTTCTTTTATGAGATTTACAGCATATCAGATTTTCAAGTGCCAGGTTTGTGGGGTTCTACTTTACTTTCTTATCCTGCTTTGTCTACCTTCCAATGATAAAATATGTTAATAGAGCTAAGATGATAAGAGAAAAATTTATAAAAGTTATGATTTGCATTTCACATATTTTGATGTTTTAATTTAATCACTAATGGGAATCTTGATAATTTATTGTTATAATATTTCTATTTTTAGCTGTCCATGAGAAAATTTTCATCACATTTATGGCAGCTTCCATTTCTTATATGTTGAGTGTGTTTTGAGTTATATGAATAAATCACCAACACCTACATATTTGGTGAGTAATTACTACTATAATGATTTGCTATGTCTGTATTCATAAAGTTTTTCCTAATATTAAGTATAGGTGTAGGGAAGTAGATAATTAAGATGACTACAAAGGTAGTTCGTATGTACAATCACACATGCAAGAAACTATGATCCACTTTGCAATTTAGGATAATCAATCCATCAGCAAGTATTTGTAACAGGGTTGCCACGCTACCTGGAAAACCGGAAAAAGTCAGGGAATTCGGAAATTGACCAAAAAATTCAGGGAAAAAGTCAGGGAATTTCATACAACGATCCCGCCAAAAGAGGCGAGTTTTGCACCGACGTCGGAAGAGATCACTTTTTTTGGCGAAATATGTATCACGTGTGTCATTCGGGCAGCTGGCATAGAGCCAATTTCCACAGCTCCAATTTGATTGTCTTTTAGAAAGGCAAAGCAATTTTCCCGCAACTTTTGGCTTACAGTAACCTCGAGAATCGCATGTGCAGTGCACAAACTAAAGAAAGTACATGTTCTCGTATAAAACAAAATGGGTTTAATCCTAGTATACGGTACCATGAAGGTTAGAATCAAAGAATATGTATTGTAAAGAAGGAAAACCTCTCTCAAACGGAGGTAGCTCTGTTCCATCATAGAGGGAAACAGCTGTGCATGCGCGATATATCTGTCGCCAAAGTTCGAAACCGGTGTCGAAGTTCGAAGGTCACGTTATCAAGTGTTCATAAAATGAATATCGTTTAAAATTTCTTTAAACTCTAAAGGAAAAGAAAATATTTTTTGGCGCAAGTAAATTAATTCATGGATCAATTATTTTGAGGAAGAAAAAAAAAAAAACCGACGAAAATCCGTTTTTAAAATTATTGCGAAAAGTCCAAGAAGAAATGTTTTATCAAAGAACGTTTTTTCTTGGATTTTTCGCAATAATTTAAAAACGGATTTTCGTAGTTTTCTTTTTTGTCAAAGAACATTTCTTGACATGATCATGAGCAAGCAGTAAACGGGTCATTTTGTTCTTGGCAACAATTTTCAGAATCGTGCGAAGGCCGTACCGTATAGTAGGATTTTACCGCAAAATCTTTTTAAACCTTTTTTTTTCCCCCTTTTCTTTTTAATAAATACGTTGTCATTTTGCAGTAAAATAAAAAAATAGTAATCAGTCGTCTAGGCTAACCATGTAATATAACTATATTCGCTAAAATATCGTTGATTATTCTAATTCAATTTTTTAAGTAATTATTTTTATTTTTATGTTATTCATATCATTTAATGTTGCTTCTTCCCTCTAAATTTCTTTATCATTAGTAAATAATATTTCCAAATTTCAGGAAATTTTCGCTGGCATAATCCTGAAATTAATTCTAGCAGTATGATGACATACCATCACGAAATTTAATGCACATATTTTTTCCTTATGTATACTGCGAAATAAATATAAAATACCTCAATTTATTAAAAAAATATCATTAAATAGATTTCTTTCTTTCGTTTAGGTGCAGAATGTCTGCAAAAAAAGACATTTTATTCCAGATGGGCAGATTCTAATCTCAATCTTCAGTGAGAAAACAACTCCTATTTAATTATATTGTGTTTTTGAGTGTTAAAGGTGCCTTTTAAGAAACACCTATACAAATTAAATTTACCTAAAATCTTAACCTAACTATTTAGCATGCGTGTGATTTTATAAGAACCAATTAGCCTTGTTGTGAACTGGTGATGATCATGAGTAATAATTAATAAAACGTACAATGTTATCCAATGTATATATCTTAAATTTTATTAAGGTTCATAAGTGGAAAAGTAAACAAAGTGTACAAAGAATAATTAATAATAAATGTCCTCTGGGATTTATTGAATAATTAAGTGAATTTGCTACATAATACAAGTAATACTATATTTAATATACCTCTTAGCACAGCCAATGTACATCACACTGATAGACTGGAATTTTCTTGAAACATACCTGAAAGACCTGGAAAAGTCAGGGAATTTCATTCTCGTGTTTGAGTGGCAACCCTGTTGTAAAACTAATTTTAAATAAACAACTTAGAATTCACAGGTGTGCAAAACTAATGAACAGCTTCATTTTATATTTTCACATTTCAACCTCTGATGTGAGAAAGCTTATGAGAATTTGCATAACTGTAGATCTTCAGCAGAAAGTTGATGCACATTCAGATTTTTGAATCATCACATCAGATGCAGTTCTATAGCCCATAAATAATAAAAGCAGAAATTCTTAAATTTCCAGAGATTGTAAACATTCAGCAAGTTTCATTCCATATTACAAGCAGTGAAATGGCCACTAAAACACATTTAGATGATTTGGGGAGTTGGTGAAAGGATGTAATTTGAAGAGTTGCAAATATGTCCAGTTTACTCCTGTCATATTGCAAGCATGAACAGTTTTCAGGCTTTTCAAATGTCTTTTTGATGGTCAACTTTGAACTGCATCTTCCACTGATAAGCCCTTTAACCCCTTAACTGCTGTAGAAAATGTACAAGATTCACTCCCCAGTGCTACCGTTTTTTCACAATAAGTGCAAATTTTCATGCCTTAAGGGATAAAATATTTTTGGAATTTAGGGAAAGCATTGGGGTCCGAAATTTAGGGGCAGTAAAAATTTAGAACTTAGGGAGGTGCTTGGTAGCAGAATTTAGGATCCGCACAGACTGCATCAGACGGTAAGATGTCTAGCTCCAGCCCTTGATAAGCCTTAAGTATATGCACGAATTTATTTATTCAGGACTCGGGTAAGTTTTAAGCACGTGCAAAAAATAGATGTAAGTATAATAAATAACTAAACTAAATACAATCAGGCTTAATTGTCTCAGTGCCCTGTAGAAGCAAAACCAAATTTAGTAGAACAACTTGTCTTTCATCAATAATCTCATGCGGCATAGCCAATAATGTATAGCGGATGCTATTGAGCTGGGCTAAAATTATACTTTACTGATTCCAAGGAATTTCAGTCAATATAGCAAATTGTGCTATTCCTTAACTTTCTGATTTGATCCAGCTTAATTATTTTTTTGCGGGCTGTTTTTATTATGGCACTTTTATGAAAATTAAAGTTTCATCTTTCGATAATGTCGAAAAGAGTTTCTAATTCTGGAGCTGCAACAGGATCTACAAAGTGAAAGCATATCTCAGTGTCCATTAAAAGGAAAAACAAATTGCTGCAAAAAATGGATAAAGTTGTATCTGAGATAGCTAAGGCAGTAAGCATCAGCATCTTCAATCGTTATTTGGCATGTTAAATGTTTACTTTAATACCATAGGATATTTTGTAATTCTGTTTTATTGATCAGAGGTGATACCAAGATATTTAAAACAAAGTGCAGTATTTTTCAAGGATGGTCTGATGGTCTTAGAATAAGAATACTGAGATTGAAAATGGGAGTGTATTCAGTTCTTAATGAAGCAGTTCTAAATGCATGATCTTCATTCACATTATCTTATTTGAAGTACACTGTCACCATCAGATTACAGAGCTGCCTCAAGGAACAAATTTTGAGTAGTGAAACATGCGTATCAATATAAGACTGCAATCTTACAAGCAGCCTACTGCACACCATCATATAAGAATAGTTCCTCTGTTTCTTGCAGTTGCTTCCAGGTGCATTCATCACCATTTGCTAGAAACAGAACTAGGTTTTATTCAAAAAAAAAAAAGGTATTCTATAACTAGTTTGTCCTTAGATCACGGCAAAGTATGCCTGTGGGTCAGCAACTAGGGAAGCTGTAAAATGGAGTATTTTCTTTATACTCCATTGATTGTTATTGCTAATGAAATGAAGCATTTAAACCTAATGTTTCTTGTCATTCTATGGTTATGAGCCTTAAAAAGCAGCAATGATCCTACTCCTTTAGCACCTTTTTAAACTGCGTTTTTCATGTCTAGAATTTATGATTTTTTTTGGCTATGAGTATACAAAAACATAGGAACCTCTTTTAAAAATGGAGTGCATGTCTTTCACACCCATAGTGCCCTTGATCAAACAATATAAGTTCTTTCTGCATTGTATTACAGTATCTTTAGTTTACTTATATGTTTGTTATGTTTTATAAATACCTCCTAGGTTATCATGTTGAGTTTGTTTATTTCCTGTGGTTAGGAGAACAAAAAGCATACTTTCTCTCTCTTCCCCCTTTTTTTTTGAGGAGGTGCTTCAATTTGTAAGGGCATCTTATTTTTTTATATCAATGATATTATTTATCATTTATACTGTAAGTGGTTGTAAATGTCCGAAATGACTGAGGTGTTTTATTTTTTGTAAGTCTAAGCTTTAAATTGCAGATTTTAACATGAATGCAGATTTTAGCATTTTAGCTGAATGATTCATTTAGCCTTTTACATAATTCTTGAGGTACTCAGGAATTCACATAATAATTAAATTTCTTTTATGTAGGAGAAGCTGTCATACAGATCAAAGCTTTTCCTTTGTGTAGTTATTGCAGTTACATCTTTGGGTATGATGTACTTCTTTTATAAACATCGAGTGTACTGCGAAGAACTTGGTAAGTTAATTTAATTATGCTTTCATAAACGTAATTTCTATATTTAGGCTTTTCTTTTCTTTAATCTGTAAAAAGCTGATTAAAAATTACGGTAAGCCTTGGAATATCTGTGTAATTCCCTTTATGACCATCTTCGAGGGCATTTATTGAAAGGATAAGAAGTAAATAACTTTTTTAATTTAATTTGAATTTCAAGAAATGTGAATTTTCTCTGTATTATGCTCTGCATTAGATCAAGTTGAGTTGTTTGTTTGAAATATTTTTATAATTTTTTCAACTTTTCAGCATTCAGCTGGTTTGCCTTATGTGAATATCTCATATGTTTTGCTAATATGGCCTTTCATGCTACAATAATTTGGGATTTGCCTGATGAAGAAATAATCATTTGCCTTCCATTAATGCACAGTTCACCCAATTGTCAAAGCATGACAAAAAAGCATGACTAAAAGAAAATTCTAGTTTAACTTGTAATTTATGCTGTAAAATTGTATATAGAATTTTTCACCTGAACACTACTTATGTTACATACTATAAACATTCTACGAATATTCTTAGGAGCATATTTTTAACAATTAGGATACTGCATCATGTGATAGCTCTTGGTACATTTTGTGATTTTCATTGTTAATTGAGATCTGGTGCTTTTATCCTGATATATCCACTCTTGATTTTGGATATTTCTTCAAGATTAATGGTGAAATGTTTTACAGAAGAACTGTTTAATCTATTTAAAGTCAAGATTAAGTTCCAACATTTTGTTCATGTATTTTTTGTTTGTGGAAATTATATTTAAATATTTAAGCTTTATTCATGTGTTAAGAAATGTCGTTGCATTTTGTTCTAATTTAATTACAAAGTAGGCCTTGAATTTAATGCTTTGTAAAATTTCTATGAAAATTTTCACAAGATAACCTGAAGAACAAGCTAGAGATTGTTTATTTGTTAAATTTCTAGTCATTGTAAAAAGTGTGATCTATTCATTTTTTGTGAAGTCTGTTATTTTTATGTAACTATTTTAAGTTTTTATATAAAATATACTTTTTATGCTTTTTTGACAATTTTTTTTATGTTTGGTTTTTATTGCCATATTGTTTTGCTTTTAGATGTCTTTATTTTAATGTTTTGTTCTGTATCAAACTATTTCTAAGTGTTTTGGATTTTTCTTACAAAGGTATATTGAGCATCTTAGAACTTAAAAACTATTGGTAATGGTCCTCATGTTTTAAAAGTACTTTTGAAAAATGGAAAATTTCTTCCTAATCACCTTAGTCATTTTGACAATCTGCTGGAAGTTCTCTATTCTAGTAGTAAGCATTAATTGATTATAGTTTTTATGTGTGTTGAAAGCAATAATTATGTAGTGAATGCTGATATTATATAGTGTAATATTTTTTTTTGGTAGTATATTTAATTTTTAGCATGTAAAGTTAATGTAAGAAAATGCACATCTAATTCTTTTATTTTCTGCTTGAATAATTATTGTCAGTAATGCATAATTAAGAATTATTTAAGTTGAGATTTGTTGATCTGTTTTAAAGTTTTTATGTGTTTATTTTTTATATTTAATTCATTCCTTTTATGTTTTGGAGGGGAAAAAACCAATATGGAATACAGTTTTGATGTCTTTGCTGCATGTTGAATTGCAAATTATGATAAGAGGTTGATTTATATTATTTATTAAAAGGTACCTGGACCAAAAAATTAAATATTTAAAATTTCATATGAATGCTTTCTGTCTAATTTCAGAAAAGTTGTACCTGTTCTGCAACAGCACAAGATAATTTTGAAAGCATTAAAAAGTGTTGCTAGTCCATTTTTCTACCTAAAAAGTTCTAAAAATCTTTTTAAGGTATTTTGATTTTCTGTAATATATTTTCATGCAAATATATTTTTTACCTATATAATGTCCATTTAACACATAACTGCATCACCTGTATGATATCACCTGATATTTGTCTTTTGCTCATCATCTGATATCTTATTTTATGAGGTGTTTATTAATTTTATAATAAAACTAAATTTTCCCCCTATTATTTCAACATTTTATTGTTTGCTTTACTTTCTTGCATATTGATAAGAAGTAAATTATGGAATCAGCTGTGCATGCATTTTGTGATTTATCTCTGAAATGAAGATTTGCATTATAATGTAAAAATATTTAGAAAAAGAGAAAAGATGTAAATCATCACAAATACTTTGAATACTTTTTAGATGCATAATTTTTGTACTTAGCACACATAATATGAATTGTTATACTAATTTAAAAAGTTAATGAGATCCATCTTGCAAAAATGGAAAAAATATGTTCAATTTTTAAATGTTATTGCAAATGTATTTTTAAATTAATTGAGTATCTTCACTACTCATTCTGTGAATGAAACAGCATGTCAACCTATTTAGAATTTTTATAATGGATGTTAAGTATCTCTTGTAGCTTCATTTTTGTTGGAAAAAATTGTATGTTCTTAAGTACATTTATTTCATTTCCTTAAAAATATTTCAGTTCCTTCTCTTGAACAGTTCTATTATGTATTTTTATTTCTCAATTCATTTTTTTGAAGTGATAATTTTCAGTGTCTTAGATACAGATTTTAATGGTGCACAACTGGTATATAAATGGACTTAAAAATGTCATAGTGCTCATGATTGGCCTTTCTTCATGGCTGTCTACTTTATAAAAAATTTGGTTGAATTATGCACAATTTTTATGCTTTTACCTATTTCTGATGCAGATATGTCTGAGAAAATATTAAACTGTGTTGTAAATATCTTGTCATTGGCTGTTAACTTGTTTTAAACATTAATTTCTTGTAATTTTCACTAGTAACAGTCCACAGTCTCTTTACTTTCATCTCTTTTATTTATTTGTTTTATGAAATATTGTGCTCAGCTCTTCTTTGGAAACAAAGAAACCTTCAGGAATCCTGCAAGTGTCTGTTCTGTCTTCATTTTGTTTGTTTTTAATGTTTTCTCTCATTCTGATTGCCTAATAAACAGAAACTTAAAAACAGAAGTGTTTATCCATCACCTTCTGTAATGCATTGCTACTCATGTTGACTGGCAATAGATTCAGCCATCACTGTATTGCTAAATGATATGTACTGTTTAGAGAGGCATAAAGTATATTTTAAAGCTCTTATACCTGGGAATCATATGTATATTATACCTTTGTCAGTGAATGTTTCTGCATTGGCACAAATTGATTACTTTCTTTTCTCCAAATCACCTCAAAATTCCTATTTTCTTTGTCATATTAGCCAATTAAAAAGGAAGTGTATTTGGTAAATAACTGCAATTGCTTGTTGCAAATTGTCAATCAGTAATTGAAATATGTAAAAAGTATGGAGATTTTTGTAAATGCCCTTGTTGAAAAATTCATAGTTTATGCAATATTTATTTTTTTACTTTGACTTAAAAACTATATTTGTTATATTTGCAAGGGGGGGGACTGTACATTGTCAAAATTTAGCATGGCAGTAAGGATACTTAAATGTCAGTGTAACAGCACTTGATAATTTAAGTGTGTAGATTGCATATTTATTTTGTGATAAATATTCCATGTACAGCATGCCTAAATAACATGGTGATATTAATTATGCAAGCAATCATAGTAACATTTGAACCAGAAAAAAATGTAATTAAACTTATGCTAGAGCTTTAATTTAAAGCCTTTTAGTGACTTGCTCTTTGGAAAAGTGAACATTTTACAAAAATGAGCCTGCTCAATCTGAGACTAACTTGTATCTCTTTTAAGGTGGTGTAAATAGTTTTAAATTTGTGTATTTTAAAAGATGTGTAGAATTAATTCTTTAATAGGAATAACTTCCATATATATTTGTAAGAAAGTTGCATATTGGATGGTATTATATTGTAAGTGTGTGAATATATATTTTTTTCATTTATTCTAAATAAGTATGTTATTTCTTATATGATTAAAAAGTACTAGGAATAACAATGACAAAAATCTGCCTTAAATATTCTAGTATGCAGTTTTCTTATGTATGTAAAATTTTTAGAAAGCATTCATATGTGTGGGTATTTATTAGCAAGTAAGAAAATGTAGGCAGCTGATTTTAATCATGCGTTTTTCTGAGTGTCACAACATGGCATTATTTTGCACAGTTCTGTTAAAAAACTTAAATCCATTTTTCTCATTTTAAAAGTGGTAGATAAGCAGCAGTGAAAGGCTCATGTGAACAAAAAAGTGTTTTATGTGGCTTATAACTTTAATGCTGAATGTATATTCTGCTGTGAACAAAATAAGATCTATAAAAATTTGATGATATAAAATATTACATGTAAATTATTAATTTTTTTCTTTGATTGCAGAATATTATTATTCCAATCTTGATAATATGTATCTGTACATGCTGTAAGATATTGTCCAGAATATAATTCCTAAGTCTGATTTTTCTGTTAAAATTTGTCAATAGATCTTGAAAAATCTGGATATTTTAAAGCATAATTCATTTGTAATTCTCTAAAATGTAAATCTTATTTGATTTATTCAGATATCTGTGTTAGTTTTAGCTGTAGTGTGTAAGTTTTTTTTCCTTCCTTTTTTAATTATTCAATGTGCATGGAATTTGAATCATGTAAGATTATTCTTTAAGTAAGTAAAAGTACTTAGCCAGTTAAGTGGTTTAAATTCCGTCTGAGAAACTTATTTCCTGTACCATTGTTGAACTTTCAAATAAAAGGCAGCATGCATATATGGTAATAAAATCATATTGGTATGTTTTTAAAAGGAGCATCACCGATTAACATTCAGTTATCTGTGTTTTCTGAAGCTAAAATTCTAGCATAATAATATATTGTTGCATGCTTTTCGTATGGCTGTATCCCTATGTCTTATAATGTAGTATTAAATTAAATATTTATGTATATACTTTTGAGAATTTCCTCCTTGTTTTATATAATGTTTTGTAACCTTTTTTAAAATTTGTAATTGAAAGTTTGTCTAAGTATCATTTCCAGTAATCTACATGAGTTAAAGAAAAGGGGAGCAGTTTAATCGAATCTGCAATGCCTTTTAATGCATTAAGGACTAAAAGCAGGTATTACTGATGTTCAGAAAAATACTGTATATTCTAAGATATATTCTGAACACTTTTCTCAAGATATATTTTTTAATACATCCTGCACTTATCATTTCGTGCCATATAGATGCATATTTTATTTGATTAAGTATATTTTTATTATACATTGTATCCACAAAATTCCTTACGTAGCTTTTATTTTTCCAACCGTTGAATGTAGACGACAAACTTTGAGCTACAAAAATTTATTTTGCTATTTTAAAATAAGTTTTGTTTAAACTGCAAAACCTAACTTTTTATATACACTGAAGAGCCAAGACATTATGACCACCTACTCTATAATGCATTGCACGATTTTTGGCCATCGAGACAGCTGCAACTTGCCTTGGCATGGATGCCACAAGTTCTTTGTAGATGACTGGAGACAGGTTGTACCAAATCTCTAAGCAGCTGTCATGGAAAGTCAAGATACTTCGGCATGGTGGTGTTTAAGCTCTGAGCTGCTGCTTCATGACATCAGAAATGTACTCTGTCAGTAAGGCCGAGTTAGGTGGCCAGGACATTAACTGGAATTTATCCTTATGTTCCTTGAACCACTCCAACACAATTCAAGCCTTGTGACATAGGTCGTTGTCCTGCTGGAAGATCCCATTTCCAGTTGGGAAGACAGATGTGAGTGTTCAACTGATCAGCAATCAAGTAGAGATAGTCCGCAGCTTTCATGGTCTGTTCTACCATAACTCAGGGTCCCACAGCCATTCATGAGAACGGCCACAAAACATAATACTGCCACCACCAGCCTGTGTATGACCTGCTTACAGAAGGGACAACAATAACAGTTCACATGGAAGAAGCGTACCCTGACACGACCATCGACGTGATGAATGAGAAATCGTGATTCATGCGACCGAGGAACTGTCTTCGACGTATGCATGATCCAGTCTCGATATTCCCGGGACCATTGTAGGCGTATTTGACAATGACAGTCAACAGAAGTATACGATCGGGATATCTGCTGTGTAGTCTCATATCCAACAGTGTCCGCTGAACTGTATGTTCCGAAGCATCTGCTCTTGGGTCTCCATCGTATTTGACTGTCAGCTGAGCGACTGTCTGGCACCGATTTTACTGTACCAAGCAGGATAGTCTCCGACGTCCTTTTTCTTTGAGGACGCACTGACGTCGAACTCCTTGCCATCTACTGCTCCTCTTTCCATAAATACTAACAACGGCAGCTCTTGAACAACTTGCCAGTCGCGAAATTTCGGAGTAACTCATTTTGGGTAATCGGGCCATTACAATTTGCCCTCTGTCAAATTTGCTTAGATCAACAGCCTTTCCCATTGCTCGCAAAAGTAAGCACAAGAATGATTCCTCACCTTCTCCAGTAGTAGTCAAAAACCATTACCACTTAATCACTTGCCCTCCACGTCATCCAGATGAGTTCATTGAAAAATGTGGCAATGGTCATAATGTTTTGGCTCGTGAGTGTATTTCCTTGGTCTCTGTATTTAATAAATTTCATTGTCAATAATAAACTAAAAATAAAGCACAAAACAATTGGCTCCCATACCACAAAAAAATTGACTTAATGTTTCATATATTCAAGGGTAGGACACAAATTGAAGAACAGTACGTTTACATTTGTACATTTCTAAAAATGAAATATCAGTTCAGGAAAAGTTTTCTCATGGCAGTAAATTAAATGACAAGCATTGCTTTCAATATTGCCTAGTTCACTTTTTGTGTATTTGAATATGGCTAAGCACATGCGAGCTATATGCTTAGGGAACATGACTTTTGGAGGACT